TTTTCAAATACATATGTATTGAATACAATTTATTTTTCATAATACGAATCAAACCAATTGCTTATTRAAAACAATCGGTTAATTTACGCATTTCACCTTGGTTCCAAAGTGTTCCTAATAAGTGATTTCTACTGTATAAATTATTTTATTCTATTATTATATAAAATTGCAACAATTAAAATAATTTTTTCAATTTTAATCCAATWCATGCATGTTCATTGTTTATAAATTTCAAATAAATAAATATTTATACATATATATTATATATACATTTTATACAAATCATTTAATTCAAATATGTTTCATAAAGCGATATGTTTATAATTTTGAAGCTATTATCTGTTTGTTGCAGTTATGTGGTTTTAAATGATTGCAATATCCTAATTTATTCATGTTTTGTAATTATAATTGGTATGTTTGTGGAAATGGTATCTCAAAACCATAATAATTGTGGTTGCCGTTTAAAAAATCACTTATAAAGTTATATAGCGTGTTCCAAAAGTCTTGTGTCATTTTTAGTATATCCATGGAAGGTCAATATTATATTTAAATGCAGCTTTTTACAGTAATAAATGTAAAACTTCTGATTGAATGGTATAAGATTTTTTTTTTTTTTTTTTTAAATGTATTCATTTATAACTATGAAGTTTTTTAAATTTTCAAGATAGCCATTTTGTTAATCATATTTTTATAACAGGTGAAAAAAAAGTATAAAAATTGAATGAAAGTTGAACAAATTAAAGCAAATTACATGTATGTTCTTTAATTTCTAAGAATAATGACATAAGTTATTTATCAAAATATCAAATCCATGCTTTAATAAATATTGTTTGGAACATTKATTTTTTTATGAATATCTTTAAATATTTCATTATTAGTGAAGCTTTCAGTTAAGATAAATTTTAAATTTTCTAGGCCAAATTATATAATAATTTWAAAAAAATAGTGGATACTTATCGAGTATCAATTAAAGATATGACAGTTAAAGACAATAAAAACGATATAAACCAAGGTATTATTTATTCAGAGTTTTGGCATATTTATAAACAGATAAACTAAGAAATGCTGATTTTAACCATTTAACTGTTAATTTTTATTACAATTGTCAATTTTGTTGACTTTCAAACTGGTGCTCTCATACAGAGTGTCAAAAGGTTGTAAGGATCCTCTAATTACGACTTAAATGTTGACAGTTATCTGGTTGAAATCATATGGCGTCAAAAACACAATAATCTATTTATAGGCATTTTAAATTGAATAGTTGAAGATTTTCCTCTTTGAGTTAATTATTAATTTCTAATTTTGAATTTTGTTCCTAGTTTTTATATTAGTTTTAATAATTTTTAATCCATTATTTTAAGTTACGTCACGTAACGAAACGTAGTCGTGATAAGAGATAAGTATCATTAATGTTTTTATATTTCAATGGTAAAATATATATTTGTTTGACAAAATGTATACATAGACACATAGTACATACCTATTACAAACTTTGATTTGAATAGAAATTTCAATATCTGTGTCTTTACTGAACAGYTAAATTGGTAATCTATTTTTAAGTATCTAAGTATTATATCAATGTTATTGTGAAGTGAACCTAAAGTCCTAAAATTATGAAATTAAGAAATTGGACAAAAARTTATGATAACATGGCCTAGTCATGACCATAGAGTGGTCTACCGCGTCGGCTGTGGCTCAGCCGGACCAGGTTTGATCCTCGAACCATTGGGCGGCATTTTTCTCCGGGCAAGTCACGGTGTCCGGAGAACAAGTGCCGCCATCCCCCACTCCGGGGCATGGCAGAAACCTACGGGTGCCCCAATAGAAATTCTGCCAAAATTCTCACCCACGTGTAAAACCAACCTATAGTTCCATAAAAACCTACAGTACTACCCCCTTTCCAATGGCCTTAGTTGCCGCGGGATAATTAAAAAAAAAAAAAATTTAACGTAAGTCATTAAACAATAGGTTATAAGTAGCTGGTAATTGTGTCAGTGCGTCATGTTTATTCTTGTCGACTTTTCTACAAACTATAGAATGGATGTTAAGGTGATGATTTGATGATAGTGCATGTGCTTATTTCTAATACAACCAAATAATGGCTCACTTTGGAAAGCAACCAAAAGACTTAGCTAACACAAAGAAAAAATTTCACCTCTTTAACAAAAAAATGAACTACTATCAATTACCCATAAAGAAAAAGCTAATATTTTTGCTTCTCAATTAGCTGATGTTTGGATTTATGGAATCACAATCTGAGGTTCTGSTAAACCTTCAAACATCCAATCAATTTAGGTATTTCAATCAATAGCGTTGAGGCTACTAATCCACGCCTCGTGGTATGTTTCAAATCTTTCTGTTCACAATGACCTAAAAAAGTACTACTACTGAACTAGCCAAAATAATGTTCAAACGCTTCCACCAAAATTTAAGAATGCATAGAAATACTTTAATATCYCGCATGTCTCCCATTACCTTCCTAAAAGCCACTACGCAGGCTAAGGCGTAAATGGTGTAGAGACTTATTAAATTAGTAAGAGATATAGGTATACTTCCTTTACACRTTACTCATGTTATTTTAATCCTATTGTAAACATCAAATTTGCTTATTGTAATAYTTGTATATAGATTGTAAATTAAAAGAAATCTTAGAATCCTTTATTTATAGAGATGTTGATTAAATTTTAACATTGTTTTAGATTATTAAATAAAATTAATTAATTTTTATATTTTCCCACTGATTATAATAATAATTTTTAATTAGGTGTCTAATAAATTAAGACAATGTGTTTTATTGTAATGTTCCTAACAACACTTTAAAAAATCTAGYTTACCTAACCTATGCAATCCAATTTAGATGAATTATAACTACTGAAGATTGTATTAATGTTGCTGTAAACTTTTTGCATACATGACGTAATGTGACTTTTTAATCTTGTGTTCTATATATTATACTGAGTTATTTGTTTTAGAARAAAGACTTAAAAAATTCTGGTGAAACAAATGAATTATCACAACCAATTGAAGAAGACGAAGATGATCCAAAAGAAAAAGGAAAATTGAAACCAAATGCAGGCAATGGTTGTGATTTACCTAATTACAGATGGACTCAAACATTATCTGATATTGAAGTAAGTTTATTTTTAATTTTTTTTTTAGTTAACTTGTTTTGCAGTTAATTTTTTTTTGTATAATAAAAATTTTTATGATATAGACTAAAACCGTGTCTATAAAATATAGTTACAAGATTGATGGTGTTGTATTTTCACCTAGAATTATAGTCAAATAGCTATTTTTTGAAAGTGTATATGGGTACAATATACATATTTATTTTTTGTATATAACATCTATTTACAAAATTGATGGTCTACACTGAAGATATTTTGAATGTTGTAATAAAAAACCAATTTTAATATTAAATTCTTATCAATTTATTCAATACAATAATTTAAATAAAAATCTGAAGGTACATACAATCATACATACATATTTATAATTATCGTATACTTCATGATTTATAAATTATAATTTATGATATTCCATTTTTTTAGTYCATATATCTTTGGGATCTTTGTAATATTGATAAAGTGAATGACTTGTTTTTTAAGCAAAGCTGTTTGTACTGTATATTGCACGTCCTAAAAAACATATATATAATAATCACATTATTAAGACATTGTTTATCTTACTAGAAAGTTTAAAGTACAAGTACAAAATATGTTATTATTGGTAAAATTCGAGCTGTGAAAAAATAGCTTAGTTGTAAAATCCGAATTTGTCTAAGAAAAATTAGCAAATATAAWATATAGCACCATATAGATATATGTACTTCAGTTAATGAGTAAGTTGGTATCAGTGGTCCTAGCTTTGTGAAATAATTCAAACTAGATGAGTAACCACATGCCACAAAATTGGATTTGATACTCGGTATATTTTTTAATGTAGTTTATACTTTTTTGATATTTTTAAGCATCTCTTAGTATTTCGTTGAAATCAATTTAGTAGTTTTTGAGTATATAAGCTACAATTTGATGCATTAAAAAAAAAAATTGAATCTCAACATTTTTGTATGAGGACTACACCTTTTTAATGGATTTCTACATTATAAAACGAAACCACTGATAAATTGTCATATTTATAGCTTCAGTGATTCCGGCTAGGTGATGATAAACCAGTCAGGTTAGGAATTAAATACACAGTATTAATGGTAGTGTAAAATTATGCTAGCATAGAGGATTGAGATTAGTGGGAAAAAATATTTTTTTCTTAACCTAAGTATCCAAGTGGTGACTTTTTATGTATTTATACTAATAAGGAAGAAAAATAAACATTTGTAGCTTTTAATTTTAAAAACTGATTAAATTCATAGTTATTTTTTCTAGGATATGCTAAAAACACTACTTTTTTTTGGTGAGTTAGTGTATAAGTTTCATTAAAATGTACGCACAATTTTATTTCATAATGCAAATATATTACTTATTAATAACTTATTTCACATTATGCATCTTTTTAGCATAATACTTGTATTCTTAAAAACTTACTGTGAACATAGTAGATGCAGTATACAATTGTTAGGAAGAAAACTATTGTCATAGAAATGACCAATACAGTAAGTTGATGTCGTTCACAACAACATGTGGTAGGCTTTCTTGACTTATGTCGATTATGCCCTACACCATTAACAATTGTAAAATGGTTGGATGATGCTATTGATAAAGTATCTAAATCATTGTTTCGATCAATATATTTGTTATGGGCATCTAAGTTTTCAGCACATAGTAGTAACATTGAAGTTGTAGATGATTTGCTCTAAAATTAAAAATTAATGTAGTATTAGAACATGGTTTTAACTATACTTTATAAAAAATAATTTTTTTTTATTTTTCTGATCAAAAAATTTAGGCAAATTTAAATTTGTACAATAATTCATTTTGAGTAAACTATTGGAAATAAAACATCCAATGTGCTTAAAAGAGTTAATCATTTAAATTAATGTAGTTTAAAAAAGTCAATTACTTGGGCAGTTTGTTGAATTAATGATTAATATAATATATATTCCATTTTTTTTAAAATCTATATAATATAAATTATTTATTAAATGTTTTAAAACTTAGATTTTAGTGACTAAAATGTAAAAAGCATATTTATTAGCCAATGTTATTTAATTGAATAGTACTTATAATATAATTATTTCTAGTTTTTTCTTTTATAAAAAAAACGTATAATCTAAATAATTTATTAATATTTGTTGATTAAGTTAGAGTTAACTATCCAATGTAATAATAAATTATTATATTTAATGAACAATGAAACATAAGGTTGTACATTTTTTTATAATGCATTTCTGATCTTTATGCTCTGAATAATAATTGCTTTTAATCAATACGGTTTGTGTTGTCATTGAATATGTTTATTTAATTATATACTATATTACTATCACTTAAGTACTATTATAATATATTATGTTGATAGTTTCATAAAATWTTTAAATTAATAAAAAACAGATTTTTGTTGTACAAACCACAATAATTATTAAAATGTAAAATTATTATAACATTTTAATTGAGTTTTTTAAACAACTTTGGTAGCATTGGTCATTAGAATTTGTAGTCTAATTTAATCATGAATAATAAATTAAAACGTATAATTGTTTATAAATAACTCTGTGAATTTGAGGATAGTTTACCTTTATGCTTAGTTGATTAGGCGATGTGGATGAGTCTAGCTGCGATTTGTMACTGGAATTTTCTTGCTTCGATGACGAAAATGATGGTCTTGGTATAGACCATCTGTACACCTACATGGTTTAAAAGTTAACATGAATTAATAAAGTATGTTGAATACAAAAATATAGTATGTATAAACGAAGAATGTAATCTTATGATTATTGAAGATCAAGGTTATTGATGGGCGTCGTCTAAAACAATACACCTCGTTGCGACTCATGAATCATGATACCTACCTATAAGGTATTTGTAATAAGAAGTAATAACGCTTATATGCGGGTTATGTAATATTTGAACAGGATTTTTTGCAGTCAAGTTTCAAGGTCCGGGTCATACCTATATTGCAATTTTCAGGACTATATAATCTAATTTTTAACGCCTTCGGGTATTGAGTTATCCGGTTTTAATGTTATTTTCTGACAATGTGTAAATAAAATATTGTTCTATTATTAAATTTTTGATACATAAAAATTGTATAACTCGTTAGTCGTTACATGTATGGAATTTCAATAATTTCTTAGTTATGTCTTTAATTAACTAGTGTTTTTATTTTAATTACGAAAATACGCCCCTATATAAAATATAAACACGTATCTGGTGCCAATAATATTGTCATAATTTGTGATAACTATTATCATTCATTTTTTTGTTTTTAAAGAGCGCATATATTTAAACATTTTAATTTAACTYATTTTTTGGCAACTATGAGTATAATATTACACATGTATCAGATAAATATTTTATGAATATTTAAAAGTAATTATACATTTTAATTTTTTCTATAGCGGACATTTTATGATTTTCCGTAAAAACGATTATGAAAAAAAAAATATATATATAATATTCCATGTAATTTATATTCTGTGATTTGTACCCTAATTGTTTGATGGTGCCTTCTTATAAAACTTATTTTTATGTTTTGTATTGGCATCAAATAAAACATTGTAAAATGTTTGTTCCTCACAAAAATTTTAATTTTGAACCATATATCTACCGAGTTGTCGAGTATCGTCTAATTTTTTTTTTATTTTTT